GGAGGGAAGCAATAATTAAAATAAAAATAATAATAAATATGAGAGAACATACCATCTCTCTGGGTCTGCAAAGGAATCTACCCCAAAAGATCTTTTCATAAGATCAACTCTTTACTCAATTTCAATATCTCTTTGTTTATAATGAGGGACTTCATCTCTTTAAATAGGCTTACAACAAAATAAATAAATAAATGAAACATCCCACAAAAAATAAAATCTCTTACATCTCTCTCTAACTCCCACATAAATCTTTATTTCCATCTATATTTCTAAATCTCATGTTAGCTTCTCTTTCTAAAAGATAGTAAAAAATAATCTCTACTTATCTTCTCTTTCTAAAAGATAATAAAAATTAATCAAGATAAACTATTTCTTAGACCAAAAGATAGACATTTTTTGGTGTCAACTCATACACAAAAATCCTCCCACCTAACGTATCCCAGCGCAATACCCATGCCTAAAAAAAAAACAAAAAAAATAAAAAAAAATTTTAACAACCCCAATTTTTATTTACATCACTTGTGTGTTCTATATTCAAAATCTATAGAAGCATGGACTTATTTGTCCTATATTCGAAATCGTAGATTCACACATACATAGATGATATAGTTAACCGAAGATTGTATCCAGTTTAAATTCCCTAATTGGTTCCTTATATGATGGAACCATTTTAGAGCTAAACATCAGATATTGCCTAAAAAACTCTTAAACTATTTTTATCAAAAGCATGGATATGGTGATGACTTGCTAATATATTTTATTGCTAAAAGACATCCCTTGGATTATTTGTTGGAGATATATTGTTAATAATAATATAAATCTGCCAGCCTTAGCCCTAATTATTGCGGCTAGGTAGTATGAAAATTTTGATTTTGAACAACATTTGAGAGATGATGAAGAAGAAAATAAGATATTTTCACAAAATATAAATCCTAATGACCCTAATGAGGGAGAATAGCTAACCAGCCCTGAAGACTAGAGTCAAGCTTACTTAGGATAATCAACCTACCAAAGGAGATCCCTTTAAAAGATTGTTTATTAACCAAATATTACTGTTTATAATCTTTTACTTTTTTTATTTACATCCTGTAATATTTCTTGAAAACTATAAAATTGTTTATTTTCTTTTGGTTGATTTAAATTTTCAAAGTAACTCTAAATGTTTTTAATCTTTTACTTTCTTAAAAGTTTTCTAATTGGTTTAACAATTTCTTGTTAGGACATTTATACTTGGTATATTATAGATACATGTATGACATTTTTGTTCTTCCCTTGATACTGAGGAACTTCATTTTCTAGGAGTTTCAGGTTCTTATATTTCTTCTTCAGGTTCTTCATCTGTTGATTCACGAATATTATTATTCTAGTTATTTTTTTCTATTTCATCAATTAGCACAATGACCCTTTTCTTTACATCTAAAACGTACAACATGTTCTTTTTTTGGGGGGACCTAAATTTCTTAAATTTAGAATCTCTTTTCTTTCTTTTCTTATGAGACTTTTATTGGCGATTTTTATGATCTTTTTTTTGGGGGACCTAAATTTCTTAAATTTAGAATCTCTTTTCTTTCTTTTCTTATGAGACTTCTCTTGGCGATTTTTATGATCTTTATGTTTATATTTTTTATTTTTTCTGTTGTATAATATATTATTATCCATGCCGAAATGATAACAAAATCTCTCAAGTGATAACAAAATAAGTGGTTTAAAAATTGTCGAGTCGGCACGGAATCGGCTGATTCGAACTGGGAATCGGCCATCTCGTGTTGATTCTTCTGTAAAACCGGGAATCGCCCAATTCTAGAGAGAACCTTTGTAAAACCAAGAATCGTCCCGGGAATCGGTCATCCCATGTTGATTCTTTTGTAAAACCGGGAATCGCTCGATTCTACAGAACAATAGTTTAAAAAGCGGATCAATGACCTAGATCGGGCACCTCAAAACCAATATGGATCGGCGAATCGGCGATCTGGATAAGGGAATCCGCTGAATCGGTCAGATTAAAGCTTCAAAAAAATTCGAAAAAATTATTAAAATTCATTATAAATATTGTTTTTTGGGAATTCAATAAAAAATGAGGGTACTCCATTAAGAATTTTCATTTCTTTACATGAATATGCAAATATTGATATGTTCTTTCCCTGCATGAACTATTATTTACCATTTAATTTACATCACACAAAAGGATAAACATAGAATTATCATGGAATAAGTATATCAACATACATGGACTACAATAAAGCATAAAATTAGTAACATACAATCTAAAAATAAAATGACAGATGACGTCGTTCTTCTTCTTGGTCACGCTGGTGCCATTGATTGAATTTGTTTGACAATTCAAAAAACTTTTTAAATCAAAACTGCATTAAAAATATAATACAGTTTAACGACATTTATTTGTTAATGTATTTTTTTGCATTAACAACAAATTAAAAAATACAGTTTTGCATTAAAAATATAATAACATGTATTGTTTTGCATAAATAATCTATCAACATGCCATTTTTTGACCTAGAAATTTAACATTAAAAATAAAAAAATATTGTTTAATTCCTCATGATAATCATAAACAATTTTTTCAAAAATTACGATTTCTCAAAAAAATTGATCATGAAAAAACAAAAAAAAAAAACCTAGTTCTTCACAGACCAACCTAACATCGGTCATTCCAACCCAAAAATCCACCTCAAATCGAATAAATTACATCAAATTTAATACATATTTTGATAAACAACACTATAAGGAATCAAAGCCCTATAATATTAACACATTATTATCAAAATATTAAATAAAATCGATTAAATTGAGGAAAAAAAAAAAAAAGCAGTTCTTCACAGACATCAGTCATTCAATCTCAAAAATAAATCTCAAATTGAATAAATCAGATAAAATTTAATACATGAGATGATAATCAACACTATAACGAATCAAAACCCTATAAATTTAACACATTCTTTGCAAAATATTTACTGAAATTGTAAAAATGGCGAAAAAAAAAAAAAAACAGTCCACTTTTTTTTAACAGACATCACTCTTATTTTCTATAAAATCCAACTGAAATTGAATAAATATAATCAAATTAAATATATCTAATGATAAACAACACTACAAAGAATTAAAATCCTATAAATTTAATACATGATTTGTAAAATATTGATTGGATTTGATCGAATGGCAGAAAAAAAAAAAAAAAACAAAAGTG